GGAAAAAAAAGTTGCATTACTAGGTCTAGCAATCAAATTTGTTCAGAGAGTACCAAGTGTTGATAAGTCTTAGAACTAAATTCTTACAAGAATAGTAAGACAGGGATATTTACTTTCCTGGTTTGAAAATAAAAACCACCTGTACCTTATAGCATCAAAAACCTCATTGAATTACATTTTTCTGTGAGAATTAAAAAAATATTTCATGTGATTTTCAAGTAGGGCTACAAAGGAACAGCTCAGAATGCAGTGACACCTAATGGCAAGGATATCTTTATAGGCCATAAACGTATTTTCTAATAAACATTATTTTTGTAACAATACTAAGTATTGCTACTCACCAATGTTTTGTCTATAATCGGAAATACTATGATGATCCAATAGAAATGTAAATACTTTATTTTTTGAAAATAAAGTAATACATGTAAATGAAGGAAGAAAAAATCTTCTGAATTAAAAATCATAGTTTTAAAATTATGATATCCCTTCAACATAAATTTATGGCATTATAAAATTAGCCTTAAAGATCAAAATAGAATGAAATACATTTTCCATTGCTTCTAAAAATTTCAACTGGTTTCCGTTTTTGGATAAACCAAAAGTTAATCACTTTGATTTTTATTCATATTTCATTCAAAATTATAGGAGATATTTATTAATAGTAGATGTGCATTTCACCTAGAATAGAAAGCAAATGTCCTTAGTATAATGCCTTATAAGTTATGTCATAGTTGATATCTTTGATTAATAACATTGTCTAACTTAATGCACACTCAAATTGTACTGCAAATAACTGTATTAATGATACAGAAAAGAATAATTGTTAAGCATGCTTCTTAATATTTTCTAGAACTTTACACTACCTACTATCCAGAACTTAGAGAGCAAACACTTACTTTAAGTAGCAGAAGGTTTAAAAAATCATTGAGATATCTTATACAGTGCAAAAGAGTCCTTGATGACTCCTGGGGGCTATCATTAGCCAATGCAAATGGTGAAGAATTGAAAAAGAAACATTTAGTTAGAAGGCACAATACATCTGGGAATTTTTTTACATTCTGTATTTGATAAAGTAGTCTTCAGTACAGAAGTAAAGAAAAACTGATGCTTTAAACTTACCATCTATTACTGTCTTTAATGTGTTGATGATACCTTTCATTCATCCAATTTAGTACTTTAATTTGAACATTCTCATGATGAAAATATTCTAGGGATTGTCTTAGGCTTCTCAAACATGTCATAGTTGATGATTATGATTTCAGAGTATAAAGTATCATCTGCTTCTTTCCTACTCCCTGTTGACATAAGGTATTTTACTATGAATGATAACAACAAAAATATGCTAGTGATTTGTGTAATATATGAATAAGTACACTGAGTGTTCCCTTGTAGAGATATATAACTGAGGATAGTTAATTTATACTCAGTTCTGTAAGCACAGAAACCAGATAAAGAAATGAGCATATATTAAACTGTTAAAACATGAGATCCTCCATATTAGATATGAAGCAAAACACAAACTGTGCAGTTGACTGGAAATGCCACCTAATCCCTGCTTAATTAAAGCAGTGCTCTAAACTCCTGTTGTGTTTAGGGAGTAAAGAGTGTGGGATGACTGATGTATGAAGAAAATAGCAGTCAGCGTGGCTAATCTCAAAGACTTTGGAGCTTTCTAGCTACATAAATCAGAGTGACTTCTGAATAGCCTCATAAAACACAATATCATTGTCATTCCACTCACGACTTTTTGGTTCTTCCTACAGCATGCAGATCATTAGGAAACTTCTAAGCAATCAAGTAATGTGGGTCTGATGAAATTAATCAATGCACAGGCTCAAAGTGGAAACATAATTCAAAATTGCATAGTTTTTATATGTCAAAAGACCTTCTATTGGGGCAAAGAAGATCACTGTGGAGGTGATTCATTTCTAAACACTGTATGTTTGTGTATTTGTGTGTTCACATGTAGTAAACAAACATATGTAATTATCAAATATCTTTAAAATATGATTTAACAGAAACTCAAAGTAATTGCAATATTATGCTTTTTTGACTGAAAGAAATACATTTTCATTTCAGTTATCATGGCTTAACCATTATATCTCATCATTGTCCTGAACTAATGTGTTTAATAAAACATTAGAGTTTAAAATATGTAATTGATTTTGTTAAACTACCTTCATGAAGTAAAAACAAGGAGAAATCAAGAAGGAAGAAGAGATTTTTCATACATACAATCTGGTTCAGTATCAAAAGGACTCAATATTTAAAGAACCTATTAGAGCAGTGTCTTTTTATCTACCCAGTTTGCCAGAACTACATATTGCAGCTACTTTCTGCTTGAACATATCACATGAAGCTTGGAAAACCTTTCATTTCTGCATATCTCCTTATATCTGTAGAGTTGAAATATTCCCTTTCCCTCCAGTTTCATGACTTTCATCCCTTTAGTCCTGAACTAATACATCTCCCCATAAGCATATTTCTCACATTAACTATTTAAATGAAGGCAATCACCTCCCAATGAAAATTAATTCTGTTTTCCTATTCAACCACGTAAGTAAACTGATTCAATTCATGTTAACTGGTGCTTTACAAGTTTAATATGGACATTCAGTTTCCAATTCATTATAGTTTTACTGAGTGGGGGGTAGAGGAAGGAGGGGCTTTTAACTTCTGAAGTACATACAAATTAGCTTTGATCATTTTTTTAATTTGGGAGTTAACATTTTTCAGTATATTATAAAAGATGAAGCTTTCGAAACAATTTGTTAGCGTCATGGCAATATTAGGTAGTCTATAAAGGAAGCTAATTCTCTTGTCTAATGTCCTAATTGCATTCAAGTCAAATTAATTGTCTCATAAGTAACTATTTCTTTTACTAGGACACACACAGTCATTGCATACAACCAGCTTTCTAAAGAAATCTGTAATTTGTACACAGCTACTTTTTTAAAAAAATCTGGTTATGAATAAGTAAACCATGTCACACTGACAGACAACAGCATACAAAGAAAAAAAATATAACAGTTGTGCTATATTTTGAAATACCCAGGGTACACTGCAAAATAGTATTCATCTGGTAAAGGATAGCAAGAGCTGTAGGTGTTTGTAAATAATATATTTATCGTGTAGATCACAGAATAACCAATAAAATAAGCATTTTTTCCCACAAACCTTCCCTCCTGAGGGATGAGGAACATAAGTTAGAAACCCCTAATCATAAAATGAATATAAAAGTATTATGATTATTTATCTGCATTCCTGCTTCAGTCATTTACAACTGGACATAAATGTATGCCATTTCTTTAAGAGGAGCACAGTTCATTTCTGAACTCTTATCAGAACATCACTGAATCACTCAAGGAGACCGTAATTTCTCCCTGAAAAGTTCTGAACCCACAGGCAACGTTAGCCTCCAGGCAAAACAGGACCCGGCAGGCAAGCTATCTAGTGCTTAATTTAGTTAATGCACAGTGCTAAGTTTTCTGAATCCTGACCTCATCCCGCCTTGCACAGAGACATATAAAGCTCTACTGATGTAAATGACAGAGAATGGCAGACATGTTTACCAAGACAGTCTCTGAGACCAAGAGAGGGAGCCCCCTGGAGCTGAGGGGTGGCCGCTGTGGGCGCGCACACCAGACAGAAGGCCCTCGCCTGGGCGGGCACAACCGCCACCTGCAGCAGGTTCCCCTATCAGGAGAGAGAGAGGGAGAGAGGGAGAGAGAGGGAGAGAGTGCTGCGCGGGGGGAATGGCAGGGGTACGGAAAGGGGAGAAGCTGTGACCCATCTGTCGCCTCGATTTGCAGAACACCATGCCCTGCGGACAGATAAAAGTCCTGTGCCCAGAAAAATTCCCCAAAGGGGGCCTCTCTGCAAGCCCAGCAGACGAACCTTGCTGGCCCGGGGACGCGAATTTTCGAAAAGGAAATCGTCGCATGAACGCAGAAAAGGCTGCAAGAGCCCGTCTCCTCTCAGCTCTCACGGATTAGCGAGTGAGAAGAGTTGGAGCCTGAAGCCGCTAGCGCCGTGCATGATAATGACGCGCAGCCCCCGCCCGCCGCCGCCGCCGCGGCCCGTCGCGGCCCGTCTGGCTGCCAATAGGTGGGGCCACGAGCGTCTCCGAGCCGGCTCGGCGGCCGTTCCCGGAGTCGCGGCGGCCCCCCGCAGCCCAGCGCTCTGCTGTCCGCCTCGCGCCGCAACTCGGACTCGAGGGCGAGGAGCGGCGGATTATCTGCCCGGCGGCCCAGAGAGCGGCCTGCGCGCCTCTGCTGCCCGCGTTTCCCGGACGCCCCGGGGCCAGTTTCGCCGCCGCGCGGGCGACTGTGAGGCGGCGAGGCGCGCAGCTCCCAGCCCTCGGCGACACCGCCGACCCCTCCCGCCACCGTCTCAGCGACTCCGCGCGAGGACCAGAAAGACAAGAGGACGTGAAGGGGAGAGAGAGAGAGGCTGGGGGCGCATCAGGCACCCCCGTCACCGTCGCACCACGCTGCGGCGAACTCAGCCGCCTCACGTTACCAAACCACCTGTTCGATCCGAAGGGAGCTCCCCCCGCCCCCCACCCCACACCCCAGTCCTCTTCGCCTCACAGGTGACACCTCGGGTATCCCCTCAAAGATTTTTTTTTTTTTTAATGGAGCAAATGTACATCCGGGGAAAAATATGGAAGGTAGAGTCAATTAAACTTCCTTTCCCCCGCGCACTCTGAGTCCCCCCGCACTCCACAGCACACACGCACGCTGAGGTGAACTCGAGACCCCCACGCACCCGGCCCACATTCCAGAATTCACCGCGAAACGACAGCACAAGTCAAGGTTCGAGCACGCACGGCCTTCCAGAAAACTGAACAAGTGTGAGGAAAAGGGTAGAGGAAGGGGCAATGAACCGAAGCCACCTCTAACAAGCCACGCAGAGGGCGGAGAGGCGAAAGCGAAGGGGGGACATTTGCGAAGGAAAAACGACAAAAGTACCCATGAGGAGCACCCACCCTTCCTTACCGATGTGAATGATCGAATCCGCATTCGCCGCGTCCCAGGTTCGAGACCACCAGACGGACAAAACCAAGAGCAAGGGGAAAACTTCCATCTCCTCCTATGCCGATTCTCTCTGAGGATGGATTTTCTTCCAATATTTATTTTAAAAACCAGTCCGAAGAGTTTAAGGTCACGACAGAGTTTATCGCAGGTTTTTTTCTTTTTTTCGTTTCTTTCTTTCTTTCTTTTTTTTTTTTTTTTTAAATTCCTATTACCAGAGCAAAGCCTTTTATCGTCGCTGAGGAAGGCAGAGGGAATGACAGAAACAGCCCAGCCTGAGGAAACCTCCTTCGCAAAGCCGTGTCACTTGGAGGGGAAATTTGGCATCGCCAGAGTTGTTTGCAGTTTGGCTTTTGAAAAATGTATCCAGCCTCGGCTGCTCTCGGGCAGGGGGAGAGGCTGGAGCTCAGACCATCTCCATTGCTGCGCGGGGGCCGCGGGTCTCCGGTCCCAGCTCCGCCGCAACTTCCAACTCCCCCCTCACGCCGGATGTGCCCCCTCCCCGAGCCCTCCCCCACCCGAGAGAACCCCCCGCCCCCGCCCCTACGGCCCGCAGAGAATCACTTGTCTTCGCCGCCAAAATCTAAGTGGAAGGAAAAGATTAGGAGATTCCAAGCGGAGCAGCCAGATTCCTGCAGGGAGGGGGAAAAAGCCCGCTCCAAGCGGGGTAGAAAAAGTGAACTTCAAGGTAATGCAGATAGTAATGCAGAGAAAATCCCCTTTCTGCGCGAGGCGGGCGGCAGAGCTCGGCGAGGCGGGCGCGGGGAGGCGGTTTGCTCGGGCGCGGTGGCGGGGGAGTTGCGCCGGGCGCGAGCAGCGGGGCCGGGCCGGAGGAGCGAAGCCGCCGCGGGCTGCAGGATGCTTTTGAAGCGGTTCGCCTGCCGGGATGCAGGAAGCTAGGAGCGAGCCTGGCAGCTTCAGCACCAGCCCCACGTTGCCTGGAAATGGATCACCTAGGAGAAGGAGCGAGCCCGTGAGAGAGCGGTGCTGTCAGGCGGAGAGAGGGGGAAACCGAGAGAGGAAGAGCTCCTCTCTAATAACCACCTCCTCCCCCTATCTGCAATACAAGGGAGAAACAAAATAGTGCTCTCATTTCCCTTGGAATCTTCAACCCGGACTGAGAGAGAAAAAGGCAGGACTGTAAGAAAAAAGACATTGAAGCCCCCCCCTCCTTTTTTTTTTTCTTTTACGAGGTTAAAAGCAACCTAAAAAAGCCACCCCACTTATTTAACCTTGCTATTCTCCAACAGGTATCAGACTTTTTCTAGTCTTTGCCTGGAATTAGTCACATTGGTTAGAACAAATTAGGGACACCTGGTCACTTAGGGAAAAGGAGACCTAGAAATCTTTTAATGAGATTTCAATTATAAAGTTATAAAAAGGAGAGAACGTGCTAATTACCTTTTATATAGTGATTTTTTTTTTCCGTCTCCAGTGTATTTTTTAGGCAATCAGGATAGAGAAAGGATCTTGAAATCCTTTCTATAGATAGAAATCCTTCTTTACCTGTATAGAGATCATGAAATTAAAAAATAGAATAATTAAATAAAACAGAAATAAAAAATGCTCCTTTGAAACATTTGGTCAAACTATTTCATTGACTAACTTAATAACCTATGCAGATACATTTAGAATGAGGAAGTTGGTTGCTCTTCCATGGAAGGAGCTGAGGAAGTACTGAATGACAGCCTCCCTGTCTCCAGTGAAAGGATTTTCTACAAGCTTATTCCTTGATATGCAATACTGATCCTTGTGACTTCCTTTCTTCTACAGATTAACTTATATCAATCTGGCCTCGTTGCAGACTGAAGATTTGTTAACACAATCAACCTAGTTGAGGTGAGATATAAATGGCCTAATATTGTTTCAATTATAATTGGAATCCTTTGGGAATGTTAGATGTGTAGGTGCCAAACTTATAAAACCACCTTTGAGAGCCTTAACTCCAAGTTTTGCAAACCTCTTTTCTTTATATTCTCTCACTTGAGCCCTTCTCTCTAGCCTGGTAAACTGGGTTATTGTTTCTCCAAACACAATTGTACATTCTCACCTCTCCAAAATGCTCTTTTTCATTCATATTGTACATTTTTTTCCTGAACATTCCAAAAATGGTGTGGTGCCATATTATTACTTATATTGATATTTCTATTTAGAAAGTGTATACTCATGCTCCCAACCACTCTCCTTCACCACCTTAAGGGCTAGTTCAAATTCTTTTTGCCCATGAAGTGATGTCCAATCCTTTAATGTGGAATAACTCCATCCATCTTCTATGCTCTCGTAGCACACTCTACCTTTGTATTACCATTAGGCAGGACTACTTCTGAATTAGATCATCAATGCCTTGAGAGTGAACCCTATAGCTTATTCACATTTTATTCAATACAGCATTTTACAAAGAACCCCTTTGTTGACTTGAATTTCATCACTTTCTTTTGAATCTGGAACAAACCAGTACTTCCAAGAAGCTATCACTGACTAATTCTTCTCAATTTTGATCATTCCTTTATCTTTTCTTTTCCATTAGTACATACAGACTAATGACATTGATTACATTAATGTAGGCATTAATGTCATTTTACTTTTGGAAGAGTTCTGATGCGATTTAATGGATTATTCTTAGCTGATACATATATAGTATCTGTATCAACAGATAGTGAATTTAAAGAAGGGATGTATCTCCCTATAGTTTGCTTCTGTTATATTATTTACAGGGACATTTAAAAATTGATGAGTCACTATATATTCTATCAAGAAAAAAATTGAGAAATAACCATTTAACATGGAAAGAACACTATAATATCTTAGAATCAGAGAACTGGGAGGAACTTCAAAACATTAACTGATCCAATACTAGCTTACAAATATCTTTCCTGAGGATGGCTAAATATTTTATAGTCTTGTTCCTACTATCTCCTCTCTTGGAAATCTATTTTAGTGTACTATGATGAAGACATTTTCATTATTCCCAAATCTTCCAAGTTAGTGGTTTTCAAATGTAGCTTTATTTTAAAATAATCTGGAAAGCTTTTCAAAAGGATCACTTATGGCTAATTTAATCAGAATATCTGGGGTTTGGGGCCTGTTCTATTATATAATATAATTCTGAAACTTTTATAGGTAACTCTAATGAGCAGCCATAGCTCAGAACCACTGTTCTAATAATCAGACATTTAAATGAGTCTGGGTGGCACATCACAGAAAATCATAAAGGTATAAGAACCTCTCCCACCAATCAGAAAAGATAATAGAACCCTGAGTTGTAGTTTTCCAAAAGTAACCCAAGAAAGTTAATGCAAAATTAAAGTATAACATTGGCTTATTGATTTTTCAATTTAAGAATAACAATCTTTTCACTGTCCAAATAATTTCTATACCCAATGAGTCCTAATTAATGGTTTAAACACATTTTTAACAATACATTAACTATATATATAATTAATTCTACTATTTTAGAAAATCACATATTGTAATATTTAGTTAGCTGTGTACAAATATTTATAATTTTTAAGAGATTTTAAGTTCCAGAAGAAAATAAATAAATTCATTGGTCGTGTTTTTTTTTTTTTTTCCCCTTTTTTGGAAGAGGCGTTCCCTCAGTTACCCAGGCTGGGTTGCAGTGGCACAACCATAGTTCACTGTAACCCTGAACTCCTGGACTCAAGCCGTCCTTCTACCTCAGCCTCCAGAGTAGCTGGGACTACAGGTTCCTGCCACCATGCCCACATAAATTTTTTCATTTTTAAATTGTACAGGTGGAGGTCTCCCTGTGTTGTCCAGGCTTGTCTGGAACTCCTGGGCTCAAGCAATCCTCTCACCTTGGGCTCCCAAAGTGCTGGGATTACAGGCCACCATGCTTGACCTGGTTGTGCTTTTTAAATAGGCTTTTAATAAAGGCTGTTGGTCTCATTAAGGTTGCTTAGCTTTAATTCAAGCATTATCATATGGAAATGTTTGATGCATTTGGCCTCTGTGGTACAATTCAAACCTTCTGTAATTCTGGCATAGTTTGGGGGGAATATAGCCTTCATTCACTGAAGTTTTATAATAAATGATTAGCTTTTTATAATAAATATGTAAGTGAATCATGATTTGTGAATTTATTCTTTCAACATGGAGACTGTCCATTCAGGCGTTGAATTGAATTTTTCAATAATTTGAAGAAATGCTAGATAATCTGAACAGCTTTAAGATGTAAACTATAATACATATTTTTTTTTCATAGAAAAACAGAATTTGGGAGAAATATTAATTTGCATTGGTGGGGAAAGAGCAAGTGGAGACTCCTTCAATCATATATAATTGTGGAAAGAAAGCAAGGTAATGAAAATCTTTGGATCATATAATTCTTTGATTTTCATATTAAAAATGCTAACAATACCAATGCCTAAATTTTAAAACTTAGCTCCTCACTTTTATAATGGCAGTAAGTCAACTTACATTAGTCAATTTTAAAGAAATCTTCAATAATATTTCAACAACTCATCAGTTTTATTTTGTTTTAGTATAAAAAATCTAAAAATTTATAAATTGACCTACTTGAAACTTAGTTAGCTTTTAAAAGAATATCATCAAAAAAATGGGATATAACAAACTTTGATAATTATTTCTAATTCTCTATAATTATATCATTAATATTATAAATATGGCTAGCCACACAAAAGATTCTAAGTACAGTACAACTTTAACCTGAGCATGAAAGAAAAGCTATAAAAGTACAATGACTTATTATCTATAGATGCAGGTAGTTGTGGCGAATGCAAAATTATAATGGAGACATTTATTTACAGAGGGAAAAATATAAATTTTCTTTGGTAGAGATACTGAAAGGTCAACTTTTGCACTTAGCAAATTGAAGTTCAAAGCTCAATGGGACTTCAGGGGCTCCGTTATCCAATGTTTTACTTTTCTAGAAGAGGGTAGGGAAATTGAGTCCCAGAAGTTGTACTGATATTTGTTGGAAGAGTTGAACTTAGAAAACACATTTTTTTTTTGTTTTAAATAAGTGTTGAAAAATTATTAAACCACATATTCGTATTAATATCTTGTATAACATAATTTATGTTGGGTATACTTTGTCCTTATTTTTTTCAGATCAACTTCTCACTGACTTACCATTTACTACT